GATTGACTGTTTGTGATGAATATATTATTAATACCACATACAAGGAAAATATTGCAGAAAGTCATTCAGAAGCAACTAGAAAAGTACATAGAGAGCTGTCAGAAGTTCAGGCCAGGTTTCAAAGAGGCTATGGCACCAGGGATATCATCCTGGCTGAAAGCAAATGTCTGTCTGCTTTATTGACTATGCAAAGACATTTTATTGACTGTGAATTGTAACAAATTATGGCCAGTATTGAGAAGATTGGGAATCCTGGAACACTCATATGAAACTTTAACTAGATCAAGACACTGTTGTGCAAACGGAGTAGGGAACACTACATGCTTTAAAATTAAGAAAGGAATTTTATCCTTTGTCCATACATATTCAATCTGTACACTGATCAGATTATTTGAGAAGCTGGTCTCTGTGTAGAAGAAAGTGACATCAGGATCGGAGGAAGACCTTGCTTCAGTTCATTGTTACTCGCTGTGTCAATCCATCCTCTTAGGTTCATGCTCTCTTGTGTTCACCCTGTACCTTTCCCAACTTGATGCCTTTTTGCAAAGACTGTTCTTCCCTACAACATCCCCAAGGTACATGAAATGAAATAGACATTTTTTACAATCTCATGCAATTAGTAAGGCCTTTCTGTTCCTGTAAGGAAAGAGTAAAGTTAATACCAGTATGCACCAAGATAACCCGTAAACATACCCAGATGTACTCTAAAACAACAGTTGAATGTAAGTTAGTGTAAATTGTTAATGTTAAGATGCTGTTGAGTTAAATACAGCTCATAGTGACACTGTGTACAGTGGCTCTAAACCTTGCCCTACCCTGAGCCAACCTTTCCATCTCTTGACACTATCCCATTGCCACAGTCACTGTCAATCCATCTCATCCAGGGTCGTCTTCTTCTCATAAACTAGCTAACCCTCTACCCTTCTGAACTTAGTGTTTTTCTTGAAGGACTGGTCCTTCCTGACAATCTGCCTGAAGACTGAGACAGAGTTTCAAAGTCCTTACCTCTAAGGAGCATCCCAGCTCTCTCGAGCAGGCATGTTTGTTCTCTTGACAGACCATGGTATGTTCAGTACTCTGCAGCACACCAATTGAAAGGCATTGATTCTTCTTCTGTTTGTCCTAGTATTAGTCCAGTTCTCTGGTGCATAGCAAGTAACTTGAAAGACCTGGATCGGGTAAACCTTAGTCTCTAGTCTGACATCATTGTTCATTAGCATTCTGGAGAGGCCCCTGATTGCATATTTTCTCAAAGCAACTCATCTAGGAGCAATCAAATGGCTTGCCCTATATTAACACTATAATTCAGTAGTTAATAGCACCCTGTGGGGGGAAAATGATGGGCATTTTCAAAAGGCCTTTATAGAACAGGTAAAGCAAATTATTTGATTAAAGCTCTAGTTATAATAGCTGTTAATTATATTTATAATTGTCTACTGATTTTCTTGTATTTATCATTTTTACAAACCAGTTTTATTCATTGTACTTAATTATGATTGCACAGATAATTATTTTGAAACTAATAAAATTTGAACACAAAAAATATCTTACTGAAAAATCTGTCCTGTGCAACAATGAATGAATAAAAATCTTGCTTTCTTGTAAACATTTGTTAAAATAAAATTTTATTTTCAGAAAATGTTGGCAATCCAGCTATGGTAAAAACAACTGTAAAAGAGTTGGTGAGGAACCAAAAAAACACATTAAAATCTAGGATTCTGCATTCTTTTGCAAGTAGTCTTAAATGTTTCATTTCACTTTAAAATAAGCTGAAGGTTTAGAGGAAAGGTTAACTAAAAGTATCACCAGGAACCCTGTACCTCATTTGTGGAACTGTATACTACAAGGAAAGACTCCTACCTTACATTGTAGCTTTATTGAGTCAGATATGAAAATTAAAAGAGGAGTAAAAAGATCTATGGACCCGAATATGATGCTTATGAATAAATTTTTGTTACATATTAAAATGTTGTATGTAAAGGAAACAAACATAAACTTGGGCAGTGTAGAAAGTGTGAATGTGGCCCTACTAGAAGATCTTTCTTTAAAACTTCTTTGAATTACGACACTGCCCTTTCCAGGTATCCTTTGAATAAGGCAGTTTATTTTTTTGTGTGTGTTTCTCTTCTCAATAATACAAAATGCTATCTTTTAACTTCACAGTTGTTTTTGGTGAGTTAAACTAATGAACCTAATAATTAGTGAATATAGAATTATGCTTTGCAGTCAATCAGTAAAGAATCACTTCTTTTCCATTATTTACGGTGATAGTTGGTGAGGAAAAAACCCCCAACAAGTTCACATTTCTTAAATGAAAATAAGTCATAGGATAGTTAAAGCATATTTGAGAAATCTTTGCATTTAATATAAGATAAAAGGATCAGAGAGTAAGGAAGACCTGCTTTGACAGTTTGATTTTTATGATGAAATTGAAATAAAGCAAAGTACTAAAATAGTCATAGAATTTATGATTCAGCTAATTTTTAGGATACTTATAACAGGTGCAGTAGGCAGTAATGCTTAGTTTTGTAATCTAATTAGAGATATATAAGTCACACAGGTTGATAAAGGATATAGGGAATTGTTCACCCTCCTTACCATCTTCATCATTGTTAATTTGTGTTTGATTTAGCAAAGTTGGTGTGAAGCTCAGATTGTTCTCTTGCTAACAACTCACTCAGTCCCTTTAGAAGTCAAGTGTAAAAAAAAGAAGTCAAGTGTATGGTAAGTTTTCTTGTTCAGTTAAAAAAGATCTTCCCCTTAGGGTCTTGAAGCTTATGATGGAAGTTTTTCTTATCCATATTTAATGAAAATGCTAGGAGACTAAGGTGTGCCTGATACAGGCCATGGTTTTTGCAATCACTTGTTAGGCATCAGAGAGTTGGACAATGACTAGGGAGGATAGAAGGAGAATCGACGCCTTTGAGCTGTGGTGCTGGAGAACAGTATTGAATGTACCCTGGACTGCCAAGAAAACAAGCAGATTCATCTTAGGGTTAAACCAGGCTGCTCCTTGGAGGCAAGGATTCTGGGGCTTCGCCTGACATACTTTGGACATGTTGTAAGGAGAGACAGGTCTTTAGAGAGGGACATCATGCTGGGTAGAGTGGAGGGACAGGGACAACGCAGGAGGGGAAGGCCCTCTATGAGGTGGATTGATTCAGTGACTGGGGTAATCGAGATGGGTGTGTCAGAGGCAATGAGATTGGCACAGGATAGAGCAGGGTTTAGGGCTGTTGTACATAGGGTCACTATGAGTCGCAAATGACTCGACAGCACATAACAACAACAACAGGCTTAATTTGGGGGAAAACTTTTAGTGTCTTTACACATTTTGGTGAGTAGAATTTCGTTTACACAAGACCTATTTATTTTGTATCTTGGAGACAGAAAAGCTTTCTAAAGCTAGTCTGATTAAACATTAAACCTCCCACCAATGTTTTATAGAGTATATTTATGATGTGTAAACCACTGTGATGTTAACCGAAAAGTTGGGGTTTTTTTTTAACCTTTAAGCCTCCTCTGGTACTAAGCTTCCTTAACTGCAGTCTTATGGTCTTGCAAATCAGCTGTGGGGTTAAGGATAATTCGAAGAGTGCTTCCCACATCTGTAAACAGAAAGACTTGAGGCAGGAAAGACTTGAAGTGAACAAGGCTTGTGGTGGTGAGACCCTGATGGTGGAGAAACTGTAGCATTGTTGTGGACAAATGGTGGCCAGAGGCTTCTTGCATTTGTACTGGCCACAGTTGGATTTTGTTTTTCTTGCCTTCGATATAGGAAGGAAAAGGCTGCTTTCTAAGTTAAAATCAAGACTGTAGTACCTGAGGAATTGTGCCTTAGAACTTGGGCTAAAACTTGGGACTTACTTGGGGTGATATTCTTTGCCTCCCCCACGCTCTTCCTTCCTTCCCTAATTAACCCCCATTGTTGGTACCATAGCTCTGGGTTGACAACAAATAAACCTCTGTTGTTCAGGCTCTAGAGGCACCACACGGCTGGGCTAAGGGCTCCTGATCTACTTTCTGCTCTGGGCGGTGAGGGGCTGTGTTATTCTCTGGCTCTTTCAGAGATATGCTCTCAGCCTTGTCACTCAGTTTACCTCATTAAAAATTGTAGATTAAGTATTATCCTAACCACACCTATAATGCATATTTTGATACTTCAGTCATTAAAGGTAAATGTAATTGTAACGGAAAAGCTCATACTTATTATTTTTTTTAGTTGTTGTGTGCCATAAAATTGGAACCAAATAGCTTAAGCCTCTAGAGTGTTTTCATAGACTGTAAATCACACAGGAGGAGATGGTCCATCTCTCTCTCCCTCTAGGCAGCTTGGTGGATTCTAATCATTTATATTTGGTTAGCAGTCCCAACTCCTTACCCACTAGGCCACATTTGTGATGATGAAGCAATGGAGTTCAAGTCACAAAATTTGCAAAACGTATGTATACTAATACATACTGGCTTTCAGAAATAGTACCCACCTGCTTCCTATAGCAAGAGCTAACGAGCCACTTCCTTTTTTCCGGACTTTGAGTGTTTTCGTACTTTGTCTTCACCCTACTTACTTACTTTGGTTTTCTGCCTGGGACTTGTTCTCATCTTTTCTCTGCTGCCAGTAGACAGCCCGTGCAGTGGGACGTCTACTTCCAACTGCTCTTTATGCCCTTTTAAGTCCATACACTTGACCTGAAGGGGATAAAGCATGACTTAATTTGAACCAAACTTTTTTTAAAACCATGGAAAAAAATTTTTTTTGCCACCTATTACAAAAATAATTTCCATAGAAGATAAGGGATAAGATAAAGTGACTTGGTACCCTGTGGGATTTAATAGTCATTCTCGCCATGTCATACCTGTGGATACCTTTGACCTCTACCTTAAGTGAAGGTGTGGCCTGTGTGCCTCATTGGCATCAGTGTAGGGTTTTGGTTTTGTTTTTGCTGCCAGCTGCTGCAAAGGCTGAGAACCCCCTATTTTTTTCTTTCCACAACTGTAAGGAAAATCTACAGCACACAAAGGCAGAATTGCCACCTAGGTGGGTATCTGACCACTTGTCTGTCAGATCCAACAGTTAGAGATGGTGAGTATGTAAGAAGAGTGATAAGAATTTTTTAAAGTGTTTAAAACATATTTTTCCACTTTACATTTATTTACCTTTACATCTTGTTTCAATCCTGACTTTCCAACTCTCCATTGAACATTCTTCTTAACAATCATAACATCTTCTGGGATGATAAACACATGCATATTTAATAAGGATAATTATGTGTTCTATAATCAGTACATGAGCTCTTGTGGTTTAATTGTCAAGAGACGATGAGGTTGGCTCAGTATAGAGCAGGGTTCAGAGCTGTTGTACGTAGGGTCACTGTGAGTCACAAGCAACTCCATGGCACGTAAGAACAACCATAAACATAAAAAGCACAAATTTCAGTTGACTGTGTGGATAATAACAGGAGGTGGCTGACATTGAGAAGAACGGGAGTCCCAGAGCACTTTTGTTCATGCAAGACCTGGACCAGGAGGCTATTGTGCAAACAAACTAGGGAAACATTGCATGGTTTAAAATTAAAAAGGGAGTCTGTCAGGGTTGTGTTCTCTCTCCATACCTATTCAGTCTGTATGCTGAGCAAATTACTTGAGAAGCTGGACTCTATGAAAAGTAATGTGGCATCAGGATCAGAGAGAGACACATTAGTATTAGCATTATGCAGATGATACAACCATGCTTGGTGAAAGTGAGGAGCGTTTGAAGCACTTGTTGTAGATTAAGGAATGCAGCCTTCAGTATGGATTGCATCTCAGTGTCAAGAAAACAAAGATTCTCACCACTGTTAACCGATAGTTAACATCATGTTTGGAATAGAGATTCAGTCTGTCAACAACTTCATCTTCCTTGGATCCACAGCAGTCAGAAAATAAGGAGACACATTGTATTGGGAATATCTGCAGTTAGAGACCTCAAAAATATTGAGTAATGAAATGATGTCAGTTTGAGAACTAAGGTGTGTCTGATTCAGTCTTTCCAGTCACTTGCTATGCATTTGAGAACTGAACAATGAAAAAGGATAACAGAAGAATTGATGCCTTTGAACTGTGATGTAGAAAAGTACTCAACATCCCATGGATGGCCAAAAGAACAAGCAGATAAGTCTTGGAGAAGTTAATGCCAGAGTGCTTTTTAGAGGCAAGAATGATGAGGCTTCACCTCACATACTTTGGGCATGTTGCTAGGAGGGACTATTCCTTGGAGAGGGACATGATGTTTTAGAAGGGTGGAGAGTTGGTGAAGGAGAGGAAGACCCTTGACAAGGTTGATTGGCACAGGAGGCCCTAGTGTGTCACAGAGTGTGTGGATGGCACAGAAAAGGAGAGGATTCAGATCTTTTGTTCATAGGGTCACAGTGAGTTATACTTGATGGCACCTAACAATAACAACAATTAATATAAGGAAGCCCCCTAGTAACACATTTAACAGAGGTGTATAGCTTTAATTGACTTAGGTAAAAGAGATGACTGTGGTTCTGTGAAGAATACTGTCCTGGGAACTGTTTGTGACACTTCTGCTTTGGCCTATCAGATTACCATGATTTTTAATTGACTCAGTGAAAAATAGGGTTTGGATTAACCACCAATAACCCACGATGAGCTGAGCTGTGGGATGAACAAGATGATCCACTAGTAGTCAGAGTTGCCGCCAGTCTGCAGTTGAATTCCACAGACCTGCAGGCTGCTGCCATGCCCCTGAAGCACAGACGTGACTAAGGATGCCACAGACACAATGCTTGCTTGTCCCTGGCGCCCTCCCATCCATCCTCCTCGTCATCACCCCTTGGTTGCAGACTCTTTGTTTGGATATTGCCACATTGAGGTTTTGCTCTATATATACTGCTGTTTAGTTTTAAATTCTTTCCCCAAGGTCATAGATATTTATTTGCCAGGTATTAAATTGCCATACTCTAAATTACCTTTAAGTTGCTAATTAGGTATGGCAGACTTCAGTCTCCTATTGCTTATTCCTCCTAGTCTATTAATTTCTGAATAGCCTTTAGTAATTGGTATCCTATTGGAATTCTCATATCTCATCTTGCCTTGTTGAATCCTTTCTACTATCTTGATTACTTTGACTGTTAACACCTGCTTGAAAGCCCTGCTTTTCCCATTTTTCTGTCCCTTGCCCCAGGCTAGGTGCCCTAATTACACTTCTGATAGTCCTTATTTGCTGTGAGCACAAGTTTAGCTTCAAGCACTAACAGTGGTTTGGTTTAGTTTTTCTCATTATTCCCGGCAATCTTTCCTTCTCTTCTCCTTTTCCTACCTCTTAATTCTGTTCTTTTAACAGTAACCAGGATTTTGCAGAGATTCAGACTATCTGCTACCATACCAGAAATTACAAAGAAAAATCTTGGTGGTAGTCTTTGAGGTTTATTTCTTCTGTTTTAGCAGCAAAAAGTCATCAAGACTTTAAAAGCCCATAGGCAGGGTTTTTGACCTCTGTCAGTCACCCAGGAGTCCAATCTTATCGCCTCAAAAATTCTTTTAATTATGACTCCTGGGGAAAATAGCAATGACAAGACTGTCTGTCTGGAGTCTGAGATTAGGGCAATAGTAGTTATTTTAGACTCTCTGCATTGTTACTAGGGAATTCTTTGTGGTAGTGCCGCCTCAAGAGTGCTTCTAATGTTGGTGAGACTGCTGTTTAGTCTTTTGACCTGCCCTTGCTGAGGGTGGACTTTGTGTATCCTGCACATTGTATGAATCAGAGATTCTGCTTATAATCCTTGAGAAGATTTCAGAGTGGTATTTCTAATTAGCTTCTCATTAAAACCCCTCTTGATTCTACAGGCTTCTTTAGCACCTTAGTTAGCACCTGACCCTTTTTTTTGGGGGGGGAGTACTTTGAGTTTCTAATATTTGCATTTCATTTGTTCAGTAATATTTGTCTTTTTATTTTATGTATTTGGCTGTACTTGCACCTAAATAAAACATCCTTTTGTCATCTTGAAGTGTTAGCGAAGAGTTCTTGATATGCAATATCATTTGTTGTTGTTTTAGATTTCTCTGGTGCAATTTATTTAAAATACCAATTATTGACAACTCATACAGTTAAGCTACTAAAATGACAATGTATTATGAGAAAAGGGAAAGTCATGGGACTTGTGAGTCAAGGAGATCTCTTACTAAACTGGTGTTTTCCAGTGCCAGGGCAGTGGTGAAGGGGCAAAGATCTAGAAGAAATTACTTCTGAACAGGTGGAAAACATACCAAGATGAGCTAAGGCCACAGCAAAATACCTGTTTTTATATTTTTTTCCCTCTACTTGATTTTAACAGAACTTAGTTTCTTTAAGGTGCTATAAATTCAAATTATCTTATGTGCTATTGTAAATCCTTATCATATATTTAAATATTTAATCTAGTGCAACAGTAAATGAATGGAAATTAAAAAAAAGATGATTCGCTTCTTATTAGAAATACGACAGAGGAGGGTGGGGGGGAAGCTTCAGGATGTCATTAAAGACTAAGGTCCACTTGATC